GTCAATTTTCAAGATTTTCAAGTTTTCATAGATATGTCGATCCACACTATTTTTGAAGCTTTGAACTTTATAAATAAATATGAACATATGTTTTAAGGCTATGACAAAGATTTCCAATTATGAAACCACATTTCTCGACACTATTTGAAGGGAGGCTCTAATTTGATTGTTTAGAGCCTATGCTCTATACAAACCACGCCCATAATGCATACTATAGTATATAAATATCATATATTACATATATTAAAAATAATACAATTACATTGATAAAATAAATATAAATATATAACACATATAATATGATACAAATTATAATATATATATATATATATATTATATAATATACTATTATATATTTATCTTATAATGTATTATTGTACTATATTGTATTATTGTTCTATAGTATATACATTATATAATATTTATAACATATTTATGTATTATACTATAATATTATATATTTCCTCTAATGTTATAAACTATAGTATAATATAAAATAATATATTATATACATAGAATATTATTAATATATAAATAATAAAATATTATTTATAAATTATATATTAATTATTATTGCATTATAATTTATATATTAAGTATATAATTTATATGTAAATAAAATATTATAATAATATATGAAAAATTGTTTCATGCAGGCTGGACCACATTTCTACATATGCGGTCCAAAAGTGTAAAGCATAGAAACTAACACTCCAAATGTTTTCTTAATAAAATTATTATTTCTAGATTTTAAAATTTATGTATTTTTCATATTCACGATCTCCATGTTAGAGATTACATGTCCTTAAAAATTAAGTCCAAAAATCCATCTCAAAAAAGATTTTCTACATATACAGTCCAGAAGTGTAAAGCATCCCTCTTAAAGATGGATGCAAGTAGGTGGTCCATCTAAAAACAATAGAAACTAACAGTCCAAATGTTTTCTTAATAAAATTATTATTTCTAGCTTTTAAAATTTATTTATTTTTCATATTCATGATCTCCATGATAGAGATTACATGTTCTTAAAAATTAAGTCCAAAAATCCATCTCAAAAAAATATTTTTAAGAGGCTTTCTACATGTGCAGGCTTGGCCCACATGCTAACCAGGTCCATAATATATTATATTATAAATTATGAATAGTGAATGGTGAATATTGTGTCCACATGTGAAAACAAGTGCACAGGGAATGTTTCCCCACCTCAATAGGTGTTTTATTTTACAATGGATTAGACCATTTCATGGTAAAAGTTTTTACCATGGTATTTTATTTGCATATGCATTTGTACGAACCTAACGTATTAAATGCGATTTACATATGTAAATATTTCTCAAGGAATACTTTATGCACAAACCAAACGTACCCTCCTAATAGAATCTTTGGAATGTAGGATATCTATACATCAGGATACAATGAAAGGAATACGAAAAAAAATAAGGATTGCATCTTAGTTAAGAAATAATATTGAAGTTTGGAATCAATGGGAGAAGTTAATCAGTATAAAATTAAATGTAGGGTAATAACATAAAAATTGCAATTGAATATCCATGGATTCACATCTTCCAAGCAATCCAAATAGTGGACATGCATATTCCATATTTCTTATTAGATGCTATCCAAACGGCAGACACCCCTATCCCAGGGACAGACCAATTCTAGGATAACCCAATTCCAGGAGAAGCCTATTCCCAGGATAGGCTTCTCCAGGTACCAATGTTCGCAAAATCGAACCGGAACGATTAACTGGACAAGGGCCCGGAAGTGATTTAACCGGCCTAACCGGTAAACCGGCTGATTCAACCGCTCTAACCGGGCAAGTTCAGAACAATAAAAAAAGTGTTGAAAAAAATAGAAAAGATACAAAAAAAATACCTACTAAAATATGAAAAGCATATAAAGAATGTGATTGAAACAAAACACACTCAAATGAAGTTGAAAATTAATGAAAAAAATGGATTTTAACGAATCTATTTGTGCTTAGGGGTATTTTTAAAATTTTTTGAAAAAGATGGGAAATATAAAAGTGAGTGTTAATGCCCAAAACAATTTTTAATCTTTACCATAATGTAAAGAATATTAAAATAGTGTTACCAACTCTTTTTTTTTAAAAGAAAATGAAGAAAAAATTAAGTTATATATAATATAGGCCCTTCTTTTTGTCAACCAAGTAGTAAATGGCGTATTGGTTAATGCGCCTAATATTAAAGGGCCTCTTTATAAGAGGTTTCTAGTTCGATTCCGGTGGGCAGGTAATTTTTTTGAACTCTTTTGAAGAACTCTTTTGAAGTCCAACGAAATGAAGTCTTAAAAAAAAAAAGCGGCGGAATTGAACCGTGATTGAGATAAAACTTAATCGTCAAAGTTAACCAGTAAACCATTCTGATATATCTGATATGAATTTGAAGTAGTATTCTATTTAAAGTTTAAAATACCGGTTGATGACCAAAACTGCCCAAAGCCGAAACCGGCCAATGGCTGGTTTCGATCTAACCGGGCGGTTAGCGATTAGATTGGCCGGTTTTGCGAACACTGCCAAGTACCCAAACGGGCCCTTAAGATCTTCACTTGACAGCCTATGCATATTTTGATTGGACAACAACCCAGATAGAAGGGAATCCACAACGCGGTACTGTCATTTATTGTCAGATTCACTTGTTTCTTGGTTATCAAGAAAAGAATAATAAGTCCAATCCCAAGATGGGGTATAGATCCTTGTCAGCTGCCTCTAGAGAGCTTGTGTGGCCCCAAGCTTTAGGTCCATCTAGTGTTTGAGTTTCTAGCTTTTAGATCTTCATGAGAGAGATAAATGTGCTATTCTTATCGCCTCACATCTTGAATGACAAATGAAACTCATGTCGGTAATTTGTGCTTCATTTTGAGACAGACCAGTTTTACTGGTATCATATTTTTCAGAATGAATAGCTGACATGTTTATCAAGTCTCTAACCATATCCATAATAGGCATAATTACCTTGTGAATAAACTGTCTTGCATCTACGGATGCTTATGTATGAGGGTGGGTGTCATGAGCACTTGCATATATGTTGCATCTGTAATCAGGGGCAGTTTGGCTCATCATCATCATCATAGCTTTTTTCCAATTAATTAGGGTCAGCTACAAGAATCTTGGTCCGCCATTTTGCTCTATTAAAGGCCATACCCTCAGTGAGGCCATAAGCCCTCAAATGTTTTCAGACTACTTCCAACCATGTCCTTTTAGGTCTACCCCTTGCCGTTTTCAGTCCTTCCACTTGAATTAACTCGCACCTCCTAACAGGTGTTGTACTTGGTCGGTGCCACACATGGCCAGCCTACCTAAGCCTACTCTCTCTTATCTTATCTCCTATTGGTGCCACACCTAAATTCTCTCGAATGGATTCATTTCGAATTCAATCCCTTCTTCTCTTACCACTCATCCATCTCGATATCGTCATCTTTGCTACACTCATTCTCTGGGTTTATTGTTTTTTGTCCGCCCAACATTTCGCCCCATAGAGCAAAGCCGGTCTCACAACTGTGCTATAGAACTTGCCCTTCAGCTTCATTGGTATGCGGCGATCACATAAAATTCCAATTGCATATCTCCACTCCGCCCACCCAACTCTAATTCTATGTGCGACATCTTCCTCGATATCTCCATTTTCCTGGATTATCGACCCAAGATATTGAAAGTGCAGTCTTTTTTGTACTTCCTGGCCGTTAGTCTTAACTACTTCCTCGTCTCTACTCCTATTATTACTAAACTTGCATTCCATATACTCTGTCTTAGTCCAGCTAATTTTAAGACCTTTGGATTTTAGAGTATCCCTCCAAAGTTCTAACTTTGTGTTGATGTTGTTTCGAGTCTCATCGATCAAAACTATGCAATTTGCGAACAACATGCACCACAGTACCTCATCCTGTAGGTGCCTAGTTAAATCGTCCATAACTAAGACAAAGGGATACGGGCTCAATGCTCACCCTTGATGTCGACCTATTGTTACTGAAAACTCACTCATCTCTCCACCAGTTGTTCGTATACTAGTTAGCGCTTCATCGTACATATTTTTCACCAAGCAATGTCGTGTCTAGAGACTCCTTTCTTTTCTGACACCCGCCAAATCAAATCTCGAGGTATTCTATCATAAGCTTTCTCTAGATAAATAAAGACCATGTGGAGGTTTTGTCCCTTTGCCCTAAATCAGGAGCGGATTGGCTATCATTCTTAATTGCTTTGTGTGTGAAGTGTGGAACTTATATGGGGCATCTTAAGCATTTTGGGCTTATGTACCAATATAAGGGAAAAAAGATCAAGGCTTCAACACATTCACAAAAAACAAAATAACGTGCTGTAAAATTGTGATCCATCAATCCTAGTCATGCTTAATTATGGATTTACTGCCATTTCACTAGTTTTCCTGGTAATGTTCTATTGACACATCCTAGTAATGCTTTTTTGTGGTTAACAAGTATATCCTTATATCTTTTTAGATGCATATCTATGAATAGCCACTAATGTTTTATTGAGATATTTTGATTTATTGCTTAGAGTAAGAATTCATGGCCTAATTCTTAAGTAAAATATGTGACCATCAGATGCAAAGAGCTGGCCTTCAGCCTGATGTTGCAAGTTATTCACTGCTGATAAGTACTTATGCAAAGGCCAGAAGGGAAGATGAAGCACTTGCGGTATTTGAGGAGATGTTGGATGCCGGTGTGAGGTTGGTAGTTCTATAGTTTTATTAGTTTGTTAGTTATTTGTATTTTGTTTTTTATTTCTGATTGATTGGCTGTTTTCTCTCTCTCTCTCTCTCTAAATTTGTCTTGGTGTGCATGTGTTGGTAGATAGAATAGATGATGTGTGTGTGTTAGAGAGAGCGAGAGAGAGATTTTACGATTTTGCACCTGATTGAAATGTTACCATTTGTCCATTGTTATCTTCTCAGGCCTACTCGTAAAGCATATAATATTCTACTTGACGCATTCGCCTTAACTGGGATGGTAGAGGAGGCTAGGACTGCGTTCAAAAGCATGAGAAGAGACAAGTAATCTTTTCTTCTCATTTCATCTCTGTTTTGGGTGGGCATCAATCCATGATTGTTTGACCCTATTGCTTCTCTCTCTCTCTCTCTCTCTCTCTAGGTGCCACCCTGATCTATGTTCGTATACCACCATGTTAGCTGCATATGTGAATGCATCTGATATGGACGGAGCAGAGAAGTTCTTTGTGAGAATGAAGAGAGATGGTTTTGAGCCCAACGTCGTGACATATGGTACACTCATGAAAGGTTATGCCAAAGTGAACAATCTAGAGAAGATGATGGGTATATATGATGAGATGAGGATGCATGGGATCAAGGCAAATGTGACAATCTTTACAATTCTCATGGATGCTCATGGCAAGCAAGATTTTGGAAGTGGTATTGTTTGGTACAAGGAGATGCAGTCCAATGGGTGCATGCCTGACCAAAAAGCAAAGAATATCCTCTTGTCTCTGGAAAAACACCAGAGGAACAAAAGGAAGCAAAGGAACTGATGAGTGATGCCATGAAAGAACACGTGGATGGAACGGTTAATGAATTGCATCTTGTGTCGGATGATGATGATGATGATGATAATGGCAATGGTGATGGTGGTGGTGATGATGATGACGATGATGATGACGACGACGACGACATTGCAGCAGAATATCCTTTTGTGGGAGACTTTGAAAAAGTTTCACAAGAATAGAGGCAACAACTTTCCATAGTTCCTGTTGATGCTAAAAGGCGAGAATCTCTATGGTATAGCAGAGTTTGATTTGAACTAGTTTCCATGTAACATAGTCACAAACTGATTTTCCCGAGGGAAAAGTTTATATAGAGCCGAGGCTCTAAACAATCAAATTTGTGCCTACCTCAAAAAGTTCACTAGAAGAGATTGTTTTGATGCCCAAATATCTTCAAATTGACATCTCGACATCAAGATGTATGGACATGATAAAAAAAAATGGATTTTCAGTTTCGGAAATAGTGTATTTTATAACGCATTTTTAGACCGTCAATTTTCAAGATTTCATAGATTTGTCGATCTATACTATTTTTGAAGCTTTGAACTTTATAAATAAATATGAAAATATATTTTAAGGCTATCACAAAGATTTCCAGTAGTAAAACAACATTTCTCGACACTATTTGAAGGTAGGCTCTAATGTGATTGTTTAGAGCTTAGGCTCTATACAAACCTCACCCTTTTCTTGATATCTTCAGCTATTCACCTTTTC